CAAAAGACTTGTTTTGATCCTTGAGCAGGTAACTTCCTGATGACAGGAGGCTGCATCTTTGTGGGGAAACACCGGCTTGAACCCCTGTGGTCTCTGCCTGACACACTTAAGTCCAGGTGGTTCAGCTGTGTCCACACATCGATCTATTGGAGCCTTAAAGTGTTCAACTTGAGAGAACGTTACTTCAACACTGAAAGAAATATTCAGCCAGAAACTCTGAGGGCTCAGAAAAGGAAGCAATCCTTTAGTCGCCTGAGACCCAGAGACAGAGAGACAAACAGACAGAGGGTGAAAGACACAAAGACAGAGACACACAGACAGATAGACAGACAAACATACACACACACAGAGGGTACAGAAAGACAGAAATAGAGAAACAGAGAGACAGAGATAGACAGACAGAGACAGAGATTAAAGGAGACAGGGATGCAGAGGGTAAGAGAGACAGAAAGACAGAGATACAGAGACAGAGAGACAAACAGAGACAGTGAGAGACAGAGAGATAGAGGCAGAGACAGAGATTAAAGGAGACAGAGATGAGAGAGAGACAAACAGAGAGAGGGTGGAATACACAGAGACATAGAGGGCAAGAGAGAAAGAGGGAAGGAGAGAACAGGGGGGACTTGGGCAGGGCACCTGAGCATGAATGAGGTGGGGTCTGACTCGCCTTCTCTCTTCTATGAATCATGTCTCTGTCGTGCTGTTTTAAGCAGAAGGGTTTTGGTCACTCAGTATTTTACTTGTTAGTAATTTAGGCTGATTTATCGGTCAGCCCTTTGCTTTGTCTGCAATCATATAAGATTGCAAAAGGAGACGCGAGAGAGAGAGAGAGAGAGAGAGAGAGAGAGAGAGAGAGAGAGAGAGAGAGAGAGAGAGAGAGAGAGAGAGAGTCAAGCACAGTCAAGCACATCACCCACGGGGCCTGCCAGAGTGACGGTGTCTTTGACAGTTACACGACAGAACAAGCATTGTGTCAGGACAGCCGTGACAGGCCAAGTGAGCGTATTGACGGGACACCATGGCAGCACCTGGCGGGATGCTCCAGATGAATGCTGTCCTACCCTTGTCAGTGTGATGGTGTGAGACACATTTCACAACCTGGGCTTGGCTCCTCACAGCTCCTCTGTGGAGAAGGTGCCCTGCGCAGACCCACCCCCAGGCTCTCTGCTCGCTGCTGTTCACAGAAACTCTAAGTGGCACCGGACACTAACAAGAGGACATTCGAGTCATACCCAAGTTGCTGGTCAAAAGAAGTTGTCAGTGCTTCATGGTGTTAGCAAGCTGCATGCAGCATTGGCCGTGCCATGGGTCTACTGGGGTGTGTACTACTTGACAGCTGAGTCTATTTTTTTAGAGGATTCTTGTGAATACATTTTATTCCTGCATCAAAGAGGAGAGACGATCTTAAAGCTTAGCTGTTCCCACGTGCTATTCAGTCTCTTTATGAGGCCATGAGATGTTCTTAAAACATCTGTCCCTGTACTTACTCAGCAACAAGATAATCAAAACAAAGTCAACTTTAAAAGGTCAAGATTGGTTGGGCTAGAGGAGCTGGCCACAGTTCAGACGGCAAGCCTCTCCCCACTGTACACCCAAACATATCAGCAACAGTGTTAGATGAGCTGGTTACCTCTGCCCCACACAGGGGCTTACACAGATGGACAAAGAATGATGTAGAAAGACGACTAAGGAATGAGGGGTCAGGACCTCTCTTTCTTAGAAAAGTTAGCTTATGCAAACGCCACGGCGGTGTCTCATGACTAAGGAGCAAAAGAGTGCCAGGATTAAACATATAAACATATTCTATAAAGATATAACATGCAGATATTAAATTATGCTTTGGTCTGAGGATTTTTCTTGGGGCAGGCTTGGAGATTTTCTTCCTGTCTAGCTTACTTGAAGCCACAAGAACTCTCTGAGGACAGGCTGTTATATACTTCTATAGTCTTAAAAACTGGGTTAGGGGGTTGATGTATGAGATTGATTGTAGAAGATAACTGTTGACGAAACTTGAGGGGGAAATGATAGCAAAAAAATAACTGTTCTGTCACAGTTTTACCAATGATGACTAAAGCTTATGACCCCAGATGTACAAGAGAAAAACGTTAAATACATTTCCAGAAACAAAAAATGGTATGTTATGTTTTGGAACAACATGAATCTGTCCCTGCTCCCTGAAGTCTGTACACATAAAGAACCACTCTGGCTGCTAATTAGGTTGCAAGATTCTCTCTACCATCATGCCTGGCAACTCCTTACCTCCTGTATGGCACCTGGCTACCACCAAGGAGGTCCCCTCTCCCCTGCCAGGTTGTTTTTAAATCAAGAAGAGATGTTGAACTTTGTCAAAGTCTTGTTTCTATTGGAGCTATGTACTTTTTTGTCCCTTCATCTACTTATGCATTGCAATACACTCATTGATTTGTATGCACTGAACTATCTCTGCCCTCCTGGAGTAACATTAATTTGTCCGTGGTGTATGGCTTTTACAATGTGTTATTAAGTTCACAGACATTTAGCTGAGGATGTCTGCGTTTATGGTCATTGAGAAAATCAGTCTTCATTATTTTTGGTATCAGAGTAACAATGGCTTCATGGAGTGAATGTAATAGACGTGATGGCTAATCTGGACTATCAACTTGACAGCACTGAGAATCACCATGGAAACAAGCCTCTGGGCATGCCTGGGAAGGATTTATCTAGATTGAGTTAATTGAGGAGAGAAGGCAAGCCCTAAACATGGTGTTATCAACCTGTGACCCTGGAGTCACAGACTGCATAAGAAGGTGGTGGCTGAGCATGAGCACCGCCTCTGGCAGCTCTCTGAATGTAGATATGATGTGACCATCTGGCTCAAGCTGCCGCTGCTGTGACATCCCACCATGTAACTTGAGCCAGAATAAATCTTCCTTAAGTGGCTTTTGCCAAGTCTCTTGCTGCAGTGATGAGAAAGTGACCCACATGGCACGGCCCTTCCCTTTCTGCTTAGAGGATGACTGTCTGAGAGAACTGAGCAGTGGATCTGCCTTATCTCAGGCGTTTCCCTGTTGGGAAGCTGCATTGTCTCTTCATTCTTTCTAGATAGGTTTGCCTTGTGTCTTCTTAACTTAATTTCGTCATGTCATCTCTGTCTAGAAATACATCCATTTCTTTTGAATCTGCAGATTTTTGAAAGGCTGGCTTCAAAAGTGTCCCCTCATGATCTGGATTTCGTGGACACTGGTTGCAGGGGCCCCCCTTTTATCTCTTATTTCCACCCATCTGCCTCTTTTTCTTTTATTCTTTTGGTTAGTTGGACCTAGTTTCTCTTAGGTTTTCAAACCATCATATTTTTTGCTTCATTGTTTGTAATTTTCTCTTCATCTCTAAATGTCTCCCTTGATATTTACTAATTGCTTTTATCTATTCATTTTGGATTCAGCTTATTCTTGCTTTCCTAAGGCCGTGAGGTATATGAGTAAGATATGTGAAATGTCTCTTCTCTTCAGATGTAAACACTCAAGAATCATCTTTGCTGGACCTCCAAGGGGCTGTGTGCTTTGATTTTCACTCAGTGTCAGTAAGTTTCAGATTCCGTGCTAAGTTCTTCAATGACATAATGTTCATTAAAGTGTGTCTCGTGAAATTCCCAAATTCTGTATGTTCCCTCAGTGTTGCTTCCTATGATTTGGTAAGATGTGGGGAAGTTTGTTTTTCAACTATTTGTGAAGGATTCTTTTTGTCTGGCACTATGATCTACTTTAGAGACTGTTCCATGGACTGCTAAGAGAATATCTATTTCCTTCCAACAGAATGAAATACTATGTAGATAGTCGTTAAGTATATTTAATCTAGAGTGTAGTTTACCTCTGAGGTATCTTTGTTATTTTTTCTGAATAATACATCTATTGAGAGGCAGGTGTTAAAGTCACCATCACTACTGTACCTGGACCTATCTACCCCAAAGCAGTATTTGTTTTATGAAATCGGGTGTCACTATGCTGGGCGTGTTATATGTTTCAATTTATAATTGATGGTTCTCCTTATTAATATATAGCACCTATCTCTAGTCTGACTGACTTGTTTGAAATCTATCTTACAAAATAATAATAAACACTTCTATTGAAATCTGACTCCTATTTTCTTCAAGTGTTGACTTCCATCATTTCACTTGACATCTCCATGTCTTTGTCAGTGAGGTGTGTTTCCTGTTGAAGGTAACTGGCCGGGTGCTATTCTGTCATAGTTATTGACCTTGATAACTTGAAATGTACTCATTCATATATTTATTATTCCTGGGGCATAACAACTTGCAGTAGTCTGCTGTCCTCTACTGCGTGGGTTCAGTGGGGGGTGAATTAGCAGCTCCTAGGTCATCTTTTTAAATATATTCAGACTTGACCATTTACATTGAGAGTTTAAAACAAGGGTCTAGTGAGTCCTGTAGTTTTTTGTTTTGGAGGTACTGTTTTAATTCCTCTCACTTGATGTACTCTTCCCTGTGTGTTTGTGATTGACATCTTCTGTCTTCCTCCGAGTATAGCATCCTTCTCACTCTCTCCTGCAATGCACACTTGGTGGATATGATTAGTCTGATTAGTCTACACCTATCCTGAAATGGACTCTGATTTATCTGTTGAAAACCATACCTTTTCTGTACATAGTCATGCAGGCTGGCAGTTACGTATTTTGGAATGCATCATTCAATGCTTGTCTTGCCTGTTGCGCTGCCATAGGCAGGTCCTTTGTGAGTGTGCAGAGTTAGCATCTGTGAGTGGGCTGGTGTTTCTCGCATAGCTTTTCTCACCATTTCTTCTGGAATCTTAGCATTCCCGACTACAACATGCTATAGCATTCTCTGGACATATCTATTTGGGATTCCAAAAGCCTCTCATGTTTGGCTAAATGCTTCTTTCCCCAGATTTGAGGGGGTTTCTGCTGTGAATTTTATTAACTGTATATACTATGACTATTAGTTACTTACTTTTTAGAATGAAAAAAAAATACTAGGGAAAACCATATTAAGAAAGGGAATGTTTATTTTAGCCCACAGCTTGAGGGTACAGTTCATCACAATGCAAGTCATGGCAGTGGGAACTTGAACCATCTGGTAGCATTGCATCTTCAGTCAGAAATCCGAGAGATGAATGTGCGTTCCCAGATCCCATTCTGCCTTCTACGTAGTCTGAGACTCCAACTCATGGAATGATGCTTCCCATGTTCAGGATGTATCTCCCCACCTTAACTAACCTAATATAGGTAATCCTTCACAGATATGCCCAAAGATTTGTTCCATGGTGATTCTAAAGTCCATCAATTGGTCAATCAAGACAAATCATCGCATGAACCCTCTGTGCTTATTTCCAGTTCTTCTGCCTAATGGCTGTGCAGTTTCTTTTCTTGATCATGTCCTAGAGTTCATAAGGGCAGTAGCCATGCACATTTATATTTTAAGATATTACAGTCACAAAACAGCATTTCTTCAACCTTCCAGATATTCTTTCTTTTGTTTCATACTATCTGTTGGTAAAGGGGAGTACACCTTCCATAGTGAATGCCTGAGGACAACTTTGAATAATTGGTTATCTTTTTTCCACCTTTACGTGGATTCTAGAGATAGAATTAAGGGCACTGGGCTTATGAAGCAGGTGCTTTGACTCTCTGAGCCATCTTGTAAGACCCCCTCACCTTTTCCTTGATTGGTTGTCTTATTCAACATTTTTGTCAATAGTTCATTTTCATTGCTTCATTTCCCACCCACACAACTAAATTCCTGTTCCATAGGTAAGTATTAAATTGATTTCTTCTCTTCATTTATTTTATCCTAATTGAAATCATTGAACATTTCTAAAAGTAAAAACAAACCCCTTGTCTGGGGATCAAACCCCTTTCAGCGCTTTTAGCTCAGGATCTGAGATGTCCAATCTCCCAGAGCACTGTGTTCTCCTGATTATTCATGTTTCTCAGTTTGGCTTCTCTGCTTTGATTCACATGCCTGTCAGTTTGGAATGACATGCCATCCAGTTTAATTAAGGGTCTTCCTGGGCAGGCTACACATAAGGGCTTAGTCCTCTATCACTGAGAGAGTAGAAACAAAACAAATTTCTGCTGGTCTAGAACTCAGACTAATCCGGTATCCGGTATTTGCCAGAGCAATCTTCCCTTCTTAGATTCCTGTCATTGCATACCAGGAATCTTCCTAGCCCCTCCCACCCAGGCCTAGTTTCCTTTGAATCTGTCATATATCCCGTTTCAGTGACTCCTTAACTTCATACACGTGCAGGTAACCAGTAGTAAAGGGAAGTGGTATATCCCGAGGGCATTGGTGAGTTAAGCAGAATCCTGATGTCCTATACAGTTCTTGTACCACGTGGTAAAAGTCTTCCCAGCATTAATATCCATGAAAACAATTTTGCTACAGAAACCAAATGGTTGCTGGGAACTTGAGGGTTCTCAAATTCTGCCAACAGTAGAGTGTATGGTACACACCACATATTCCAGAGTTTGGACCACCATTTGGCTTCAATATCACAGCTAGTCTGATGGGTCACTTATCCTAAGGCTATCGTGTGGTTGGATCTTGCCCACAGATCATGGGTCTACCAAATACACTGACTTTAATTGTTCAATCCAAGGCTTCTGTGCTCTGAATGTTCATGGTGACCCTCCCTGTATCCATTAATTTTCCCTGATGGCTCAACTGTCAGTGGTTATGGCGGCTGATCTCTTGATGACTCGTTGTTAGTCCTTGGTGTCATGTTCCAAGAGCAGCTGAGCCTTGATGAGTCTCAATTCAAGATGGCACTTGACTACTGCCTTCAGAGACCTGGGAAGATATGAAGCCAATGTCTTCTTGAGTGCCGATCCATCCCACAGGATGAGTTGCTGTCACACAAAAGCTATCAACTGGAGGCAAGACTTGGGAGGAAATGCAGGCATGTCCCATAGATAGGACCACCAGTTTCTTCAACCCGTTTACCTTCTGTGAGAGTTCTCTGTGGAAGCTCCAAGATAGTGAACTGCAGATGAAGCTGAATGATGCCCACTCTTTTCGGCTACATTGCTCTTCTGCTTCTCCTAGTTTCTGGCCATCCTGTTGACCCCTTTGAGACTGATGATGTCATTCTGATCATTCTGACTTTGGAATAGACTACATCCTTCATGATCACCACACTTCTCACTAACAGCTCACTACCTAACATCTTACCCCAGGAATTGACACAAAGTCCGTATTTTAAAGATTTAATTCAACTCCAAGTAGCAGATTAATTGTAAAATTATATTGTGAGGAGACAAGAGAGGCTACCTATAGCAATTTTGATGATAAATAAACTTGGAAGGATTACACTAATGGATTTAAGGGTTACACTGAAAATCAAATAATTTAATTTTGTCAAGGCAAGAGAATAGAGTCTGGAATTGAACTGTGTCTATACTGTCCCTTCCTACTGGACAGAGGCACTAGAAAAATCTACTGTGGAAAGAGTTGATGTTGAATAAATAATGATGAAGCATTGTTCTATGATGGGTACTCTTGTAAAAATAACTGAAACTTTTGGGACTAAAGGGATTGCTTAATGTTAAAGGGGCTTCCTGCCATGCCACATGGCTTCAGTTTGATCCCTGGAATTCCCATGATATAAGAAAGCTAGTTTCCCGAGTTGTGTTCTTGCCTTCATGCGCACACCATGAATACAGACTCAGGTATGACAATAAATAGTAAATGTAATTAAAATTGAAACTTGGCCAGGTGTGGTGATTGACACCCACCATCCCAACACTGAGAGACTGAGGCAGGGACATTGACTAGTGACCCATTTGTGTTTATCTTTCAGCATCTTATGTGTTGTTAATAGATGTCTATAAGGAAAGATAATCACATCGATAAAAATTGTCAGGATGCATAGGGCAACTTAACTTTCTACTTTAATGTTGACTTCTGTAGTCTGAGTTAATTGTCAGGATGCATAGGGCAACTTGACTTTGTACTTTAATTTTGACTTCTGTACTCTGAGTTCACTCACTTAACATAGGTTTCCAATTGTGACTTCTGTAGTCTGAGTTTACTCACTTGGCACAGGTTTTTTACAAGTGGTTTCCTCTGTGCAACTATCTCCATTTGTTTTCAAATGCAGACATCTTCTGGGCTTAAAAATCACTAATTTGAGTTTAGCAAGATGTCCCATTGAATAAAGGTTCCTGCCACCAATTCCTGATGACCTAAATTCAGGACCCTCATGGTAGAAAGAACAAACTGACTTCCACAAGCTGTCCCTCGATACACACACACACACACACACACACACACACACACACACACAAACACTCATAACCCGCATCATTATTTCCAGTAGCTACGCGATGTGGGTCCCCACCCAGGTCCCCGCTGGTACCCACATCCCCTCTGAAGAGCAGTGCACCTTCTCACATTCCACTGAAGGTCTCCTCTGCTTCATTTTGATGGCATTTATCTTCCAGAAATAGCCTATAAATTAGGGCCCACTAGCAGCACTTCCCTTCCCATTTGTGTTTGGATTTACCTTTCTAAATATGCTTCCCCCCTATATCTGGACATTCTGCTTAGAAGAAACCTACAGATTCATGACCTCTCTTTGCTACCTTGAACATCCACATTTTATGTTTTATGGAAAATATTAATTGCACACCACCATTTAAAATGTTACAACCTAGGTATTATTGTCATAATCTATTTTCCTCAGGCAATGAACTAAATCAAGTATCAAACATACCAGGGACATTTTCAGTTAAAAAAAGAGAGAAATGACATTTACATAGGAAAGGAAGGAAGGAAGGGAGAAAGGAAGGAAGGAAGGAAGGAAGGAAGGAAGAAGTCAAATTAGATTCCAGAAAAGAACAGGCTATTAGTGCCTAAGCTTAATATGCAAGGCATTTTATTGCTCTATCATTACACTGTGCTGTGGTTTGACTAATCTCATCTCATGGACTTAATAAAAACACAATTTAAACAAAGAGAAAACCAGGCTGACCCATGTGCTGAAAGAACATTGTTTGTGTGTCTTAATTCTCTTCCTAACTGTTGTCATTAATTCATTAGTCATTTACCATGAATTTGTTGTCTCTGCTTTGAATCAATATTAGTCACAAGAAGAATGTTAATTGCACTCATCTATCTAATTAATTATAATATCTCCCCATTTGCATCTGGGGGAGTATAACCCATGGGTATATTAAACATGACAGGGGGGCTGAGGGCCTCCATAGCAGGTTAGATTGCCGGGGGGCAGACTTTGCTTCCCATCCCCACCACACCCCTCAAAAGGTACCAGTCCCATGAAATGGAGTTTGGGCTTACCACTTGCTTTGGCGGATGGGCTGTCAATAGGTATGAGGTAAACAGGGGTTGTAAATACACTGGACAGATGGCTTTATCTCCTTTCCTCATGATCTTCCATGGGGAAGCCTACTACAGAGAGCTGGTGCACAGAAAGCTGGTGCATGTCCATGCGTGTCCAAAAGCAAACACAGGACACATGCACTGGGTCATCACAGCTATAGTCAACAACAGAAAACCTGCAAGTAAAGGCAGGGCCACCCTGGCAAGCACTTCCTAGACTAGCCAAACGAAACCCACCTTACATATCTCTGAATGTGACAATGTATGGTTTTAACTATGCCGCAGATTCTCGGGATACATTTCTCTGTGTCCTTCTGGGGCTAATGAGTGGCTTACTGGTGACTAATGAGCCCATTGTGCCTGTAGCAAGTGCTTTCAACACACAGAAGCCTCCCACAAGGTCTTAGGAGGGCCTGAGTCTAAGGGAGAAAGTTGAGAGATATTCTTAGTGCTTTTAATAAAATAAATAGGAAGCAATATGTAACTTAGTTTTGGTTCTTGGTCCATGGAACACCTGCAAAGGGAGGTGAACCTCCAGAAGCAGATAGATAGATAGATAGATAGATAGATAGATAGATAGATACATAGATACATAGATAGATACATAGATAGATACATAGATAGATACATAGATAGATACATAGATACATAGATAGATAGATACATAGATAGATAGATACATAGATAGATAGATACATAGATAGATACATAGATAGGTACATAGATACATAGATAGATAGATAGATACATAGATAGATAGATACATAGATAGATAGATACATAGATAGATAGATACATAGATAGATAGATACATAGATAGATAGATACATAGATAGATAGATAGGATTATTTTTCTGGAGCTAAAGACAGGTTTGTTGTACCTTCTGGGTGACTACTCTGCTCCCAGAGGTGACCCAATATGATCTGCTTCTGTCAATCAGACACACCCTTCTTTTGCTTTCAGACAACGGCGATGGGCAGAAGACCACATGTAGGCACCAAGTCTTATCTCTGTGTTTCCTTTCCTCAGAGGATGAAGAAAGCTACAGGTGCCATGTCTAAATGTCCACGAGGCAGAAATAAGTGATGTCCCTTCTAAAATAGTAGCCAAGTGCTAATCTTCCATTGACCAGCACAAACAGAGACAAGCAGCCATGGGCAAATTTCAGCTTGATGGCTCGTAGCGCATAAAGCCGTTAACTGACTAACCTTGCATTTATTTTACAATAGAACCACTTGTTCACAGCAATGGGTCCTCGAGGCAGTCATTAAAATCACTGGAAATGAGTTTCTTAAGGAAAGACTGTATGTGAATTGACAATATAACCCAGATTTAATTCAGAGAATTTCAGACATCTGCATAGGACATAGAGCCAACATGAATTCTGAAATGTAAACAGTCTGAGGTATTTTAAAGCAGGATAGAAGAGGATCTTTCAACATCTGAGAAAAATAAAAGCAGCCACGAGGCTCCAGTTGGCAGAGGCCACTCAGCACAGAGAGCAGGCTCTTCTGACACCTCCGCGGGCGGGGTCATCATCACAGTGCATCATAGTCACACACAGGATGTTCTCCAACTACAGGAGAGTCTGTGATCAGATGTTTCCCATCCCAACCACCTGATCCCAAATAACCAACTCAGAGACTCAACAGGAATTATAAACGTTCAGCTGATAGCTCAGGCTTATTACTAGCTAAATCAACTCCTCAATTAACCCATGCTCCTGATTTATGCTCTGCCACGCGGAGGTACCTTTATTAACCATAGCATCTCCCGTTCCTCCTGAGTGGCTGGTGACTCCTCTGACTCCGCCCATTCCTCATCCCATCATTCTCAGTTTGGCTTTCCCACCTGTTCAGCTATTGGCCAGCCAGCTTAAACCAATCATAGCGACATATATTCACACAATGTAAAGGAATATTCCACAGCAAGGGTCCACTTAGAAATCCACGATATAAAGGTCAAGTATTAACATCTGCATACACTGGGTGATCAAACGCCCACTTCTAAACAGCTCGGGAAGGCAAAGGGACACCTCAAGGAAAAGAAAGCCACAGAGCAAAGAAAAGCCATCTATGAATACAAAATTTAAGTTTACTTTAGAGAGTTTAAGATCTTCTACCAGGAGGTCATAATCAAATTACCCTGAACTGATAATTGTACATTGATTAAACACGTGCTTTGTTGTGGCCACTGCAGTACAATTTCCCTGTCCTGTCCTTCTGTAATTGCTTCATTATTCGTGTCTTGGACCTATTTTGATCTTAGACTCACTTCTCTCTCTCTCTCTCTCTCTCTCTCTCTCTGTATGTGTGTGTGTGTGCATGTGTGTGTCTCTCTCCCCCCTTTCTCTCTATCCTGTGTGTGTTACAAACATATGTGAGTCATATACGTACGTATGTAAACCATACATGTATGTGTAAACCAAGGCATACTTAGTAGCTAAGGA